TTTCAGTAGCATAATTTGCAAAGAACAACAGATATAGAAGAAAGATTAACAGTTTTAGAGCTTTTCATCAACTGCCTGTTTTCAGTAATTACATATTTTCAAGAAAACTTGCCTCTAAATTTTGCTATTAATGTAATAGAACTTTGCTCCTTAGTTCAGCTAAAATCCAGGTTCTTGTCACACGACCAGTAAAATTTAGGCACGAGAATACATTGAGGGGTGAATAGAGCAGGACTTTATTGGGCAAAAAGGAAAAAACAAACAGAACTCAACGAAGTGAGATGGAGGCCTGCTAACAAGCCCTCCCCATCACTGATTGATTCCCAGGTCCCCACCGAGCTGGAGAGAACAGGCTCCACCTCTGCATAAGGGATGAATTCCCCGTGGTTTCACCTACCCCCGCCACCCCCAGTACACAAGTCGGGCTCCAGTCTGCTGTGCGCATGTGCAGTAAAGGCGTGGGCAGGTTCCCTCATCCGCAGAAAAGCATCTGACATAAACACTTGAGGAATGGGTGGGAGATTCTCCGGGAACCCCTTTTTATCTGCCTAGTCGTTTGGCTGTCTCATTAATAGTAATTAAACACCTGAAAGCACCTTTCTGGTAGCCTCAAAACTTAGTGAACACACACAGATCATATTCTAAAACCAATTTGTTGATGATAAACCTATCACCGTCCAGGAGAGTGGATTGTTTCTTCTTCCTTAACCTCCTGGTGTGTAAATCCATCAGCCAAGGAAAACTGACTGTGATATTGACTTTTTATGCAGATATGCTCAAATGGAACTGGGTAGAAATAAAGTTTGTGTACACTTTTGATATTTCATGTATTTGTTTACTTTGGTGTGTTTGTAATATAAGTTTTCATTTATCGATTTAATTTCATTCTAATCAGTCACTTGTATTTATACCATTTTTACTTAAAAACATTCCAATTTCATTTTTATTGTTATATTGAGTTACCTTAAAATAGTGTTTATTGAGTATTTATAAAGCAATGTCAATTTGCTAAACTAGAAGTTCCCCAGAAGGAACAGCTAACTAAAATACTGAGAAGTAAATGCTACAGTTTCCCATGAAAGAATGCTACATATTGAAATGTATACTTATTACTGTGCAATGAAACTGATGTTCAAGAAAATCTTGCTCTAAATCATAGGTCTTCTGATTTTATTTTCCTATTTTCACCTCTAAGCTCTTTTAACATAGTAGTGGGAATGTAGTTTGCCTAAAAAATGCTTTCCCACAACACTGAGTCCTTATCTCCCTTTGTCTTCCAGAGATATTGTATCAGTGCCAGAAGTGGCCTAAGGAGCCCTTGACTGCCAACATTGTGTGTAATATGAGAACCACAGGAACTCCCTCCCGGGTCTCTGTTGCATGCTACAGAGGCTGAGATTTCATTAGTTTCAAGCTTTGAAGGCTTTTTAGTTTGCAGAAGTCCTTTACAAATATAAGTACCTACAAAAATGAGGTCCCACAAAAGATGGGCATTCAGTAAGTGTGATGTAAGGGAATAATAGGCAAAAAAGCATTCAAGATAAAATTCCACCTCAGTCCTGCCTTCACTTCTGCCTTCTCAAATGTTCTTTTTTGCATAGTACATTTGCTTAAGTTTTCAATCTTTAAAACTCCCCCTTGCTCTCTCTGCTTCCTTTCACAGCCAAGCTTCCTCTTGCGTTCATTCCACAGACCTTGGCAGTCTAGATTTCATCATTCCCATACAACTCAAACTATTTTCCATAGAGGTACTACCAAAATCCCAATGCAAAGTTAAAGTTCTTCTCATTCTTCATCATTCTTGGCCCTTTTGGTATTCTTGATATTGCCACATCCTGCATTAAACTTTCTTCTCTTAAATTCTGTAAAACCACCTCTGTAAAAGCTGTTTTTACCTTTTAAAGTCTGGGTTCACAAGGTGAACTGCTAACATTGTGAACTCTTTCTTAAAGGCAATGGAGGAAAAAGGAAGAGGAGGTAGGCAAGAAAACTATATTTACCGTTTTCTTATATTTGATGCTTTAATATAGGAATATCTGTGGTTTCATTCTGTTTTCTTCTTAAATCTACAGTCTATCTCCAGTGATTCCCCAATGCTCTATAGCTTCTGATGAGTATTTCCTGGTTACACCTCTAACAAAAACACGTTTGCGTGTAGGTGTCACACAGACACCTCAGTTTCCGTGACTGGACTTAGTGTTTACCCTACCCCACCTAAGTATGCTTCTCTTCTATTTCCTGTCTCCTTTTATAGATCGATATGGGCCAATTTCTCAAGTTGGAAATTAGCAAAACAGCCTCTATTCTTCCTTTTATTCCATGTCTTTAATTAGTTGCTAAATGTTATGCATTGTATCTTTAAATTTCTTGTATCTATATTGATCTTTTTCTGTGGATCCTTATTACTCATGATATCAAGCTTCAATTATTAGTAGTATTCCTGCTTCTGTTTCCCTTCTTTTGGTTTTAAAATGATTATTTTCAAATGTAAATACAGTTTTTCTTGCTTACTTCCTCCTCATTTTTCCTCCATTGCCTTTAAGAAAGAGTTCACAATGTTAGCAGTTCACCTTGTGAACCCAGAATATCTGAGACAGGTCTCAATTGGTTTAAAAAGTTTATTTCTCCAAAGTTAAGGACACACCTGTGACACAGCCTCAGGAGGTTCTGATGACATGTGCCCAAGATGGTCAGGGCACAGCTTGCTTTTATATGTTTTAGGGATACAATTCATCAATCAATACACGTAAGATTTACATTGATTCAGTCTGGAGAAGGGTGCGACAGTTCGAAGTGGTGGGGAGGGGGCTTTCAAGGCATAGGTAGAGTTAAAATTATTCTCAGTAACAATTGATTGAAAGAGTTACTATCAGTAGAAAGGAATGTCTGGGTTACATAAAGGGTTGTGGAGACAGAGGATAGATTGTAAATGTTTCTTATCAGACTTAGGGTCTGTGTTCATGTGAATGCTGGAGGGGTATAATAAGGCATGTCCAACCCTCTCTTCCATCATGGCCTCAAGTTGATTTTCAGTTTAACTCTGGAAGGGCATTGGACAAGAGGAGGAGTCCATTCAGATGGTTGTGGAGTTGGGGGGCCTAGAAGTTCATTTTTGGTTTGCAACGTTGAGTACCCACCACTCAGGGTTCCAGTGTGTGGGATTAACCACTGGAAGAAAAACATAGGGTTCTAGTGCTCATAGTGTTCATATTTTCCAAAGCCTTATAGCAGCTACCCATTGTGTACATATCTGATCATCCTGATCAGTTTTTTTTGTTTGTTTGTTTTTTAAGACAGTTTTGCTCTGGTTGTCCAGGCTGGAGTGCAATGGTGGGATCTCAGCTCACAGCAACCTCTGCCTCCTGAGTTCAAGCGATTCTTCTGCCTCAGCCTCCCTAATAGCTGGGGTCACAGGCATATGCCACCATGTCCAGCTAATTTTGGATTTTTAGTAGAGATGGGATTTCTCCATGTTGGTCAGGCTGCTCTCAAACTCCCAACCTCAAGAGACCCACCCACTTTGGCCTCCCAAACTGCTGAGATTACAGGTGTGAGCCACTGTGCCTGGCCCCTTATCAGGTTTTACTCTAGTTTAGTAATGCCCAGTGACTTGGGTTGCCAGACCATTTCAGTGCCTCCTTGGTATTTGTTTCAGCAATGCTGTCTGCCAGTAAAATACCTATCTCTACTCTCTAACCCCTGGCTCTCTCACAACCTCTGTGCCTCATGGGCCTCCTCCTTTGAAATGGATTTTCTGTTCACTTTTCTTACCAAGCTGCTGTCACATCCTCCTTTGGGCCACTGCCACGTTCAGAGCACTTACCAGATAGCACTTATAATTGGGAAGCCATCTCCCTTAGCTTAAAGCATCATTCTGGCCTCTATACCTCACATAATGTAGGCGATAAGTAAATGTTTGTTGAATGAACGTGTAAAGGTCTATGACAAGACCTTCTTGCCAGTCAGTGTCATGTCATAGCCTGCCTGTAAGGTCAGGCCTTTCTGAACTATCATGATTCCTTCCTTGAGCCAGGTGCCCTGAGATATCAGAGATGAAGAAACTATGCCTTCAGAGATACTGTTAAACTGTTAGGTTATTTTCTGCTTATGTGTACCATTTACCTAGTTATGCATCTTTCATTAGCTCATGCATGAGCTCTGCCCTCACATTCCCACAGGAAAGTTTAGAAAATGTTTATTAGAATAAAATCACTGTTATGTAAATGTCCCTTAAAATTAAACATATTGGGCATATTATACATGTGTGTATATATATTTGTGTGTATACACACATACATAAATATATATATTTGGTTTTTTGTGTGTGTTTATTTATGGTACAGTATGCTTTGTTATAAGTTTAGACAGTTTTTCTCAGACTCAACCTGTTGGAAAAAGTCTGTTAATTGTCAGAAGGAGATTTAATGCAACAGTGAAAATTTACTACTTCTACTAAAAAGTCAGCTCAAAACTTGTTTCCTGCTGCGGATGAGTCATTGAAAGCTTGAAATAAAAAGACACAGAGACTGAATTGAAGTCACAGAAGCATATTTATGGAATTACAAATAGCATACACTAGGGTGTATGAACCAAAACTATGCATTTTATGAGTAATTCATAATATCTAACTTTGCTTTTGAAACTTATTCTCGATGTTTGTATTATTTTATTTGTATGAATTCCCACCCAAACTCTTACAATTTATTATACAAAAAACCCTGAACTTTTGGCACAAACTTTAAGGAGCAGTGGCACCACTTTTCTTTTCGTGTGTGATGACTGATAAATTGAGTTGAAGATTTCGAAGGCAATTACATTACTTTGATTTTGAGAAAATTAAGGCACAGTGACCTTAAGAGACTTTCTTGATATCAAAGAATTACTGGTGGACTCTCTAGGGCTGCTCCTATAACATCAACCATATGATTCATGATATTGTTTTCTGGATAATATCACTAAATCATCCATCAAACTTACATATCCTCTCTATGTCGGTCAAGGTTCCTACCTGATCCCACTCCCGGCAGCAGAACTGGCCAGCTGTGCAGATCTGGGGACCCTCTGTCAAGGTAGGGAGCTCACACTGTGCTCTGGAATCTCTTTGCTTCCTACTTGCAATTTTGGATAATGTAGTTGTCATTGTTTTGATTTTTATCTGAATTTTCACTTGGAAAGACAGAAAACAGCAAAACAGAAGAATTTCTGCAAATGTTTTACTTGTGTGGGTGCACAGGACATACGGTATGGGGAAAGAATGCATTCACATGGGGGGTAACCACAATTCCATAAAGCTCTGAGTTTTAAAAATGTGAATTTATATCCTATTAAATAAGGGTTGGTTTCATTTCCCCCCATGTCTTCTCAAGAATATACTGGACTTGCAAAAAGTCCAGTATAAATACAGTGGTACAATACTTTGAAGAAATATTCATGTCTATAAAACAAAGAGGGAAATTAATCTGAATGTTCAGTTAACTTTAAGATAGGGCCTTGAGGCAATTTATGATGGCAAGATAACTTAAATCTTAAGATTAAAATGGTTATGGTAACTTAATGTTAATGTAACTGTGTTTATTATGATGCTTACTATATCATGGTATCTCAGTTATATATTATGTACTAAGTAGCTACATGCTAAATAATACGTAATTAAAGTTATACAAGTTTTAAAATATAAATATTTTGCTTTATCATTGCTCTTCCTCATTACCCATTTCATCTATTTATTCTGTTAAATACTTAAAATAGACCCTTTTCATCTATTTATTCTGTTAAATACTTCTATAATGAAGTAGCATGCTCTGTGTACCACATTAAGAATCACGGCCTTTTGTAAAAGCTGAATCTCTTATTAAGAAGATCATAGCACAAAGGTGACAGGTATTAGAAGTGAGATTGAAGAAGTAAAAACCTCTCTCTTCTGTGGGTCTTGTGTGAGAGTAGGGCAGGCAGGAGATGGTGTGGGGTGTAACTCATTATTATCTATTATCTTTGTTTTCCTTTTGGAGACATTTATTTCTTTGATATTATTATTGATCAATACTCTATGAAAATTAAGTCATCAAGTAGTTTTTTTTCATGATCTCAGTGTAGTTTTCAAGTTGTTAAATTTAAAAATCTGTAATTCTGTTTAGTTCAAGATCTGAAGTTTAAAAAATGTTATTTTAAAAATTCTTCTCATCTGAGATATCTGACATAATGCTTTGAAAATGCCTCTCTTGTAAGGCTTGCCCTGTTAAATACTTTTTATCCATCAGTGTTTAGTACACTTACTGGAATCTTTAAATTATTGACTTAGTCTACGCATTTCATTTGTCTTTTCTTTACAGTCATCTTAAGAAGAAGTACATTTTTTTCTGAGATTTTATTTCTGTAGACTCAGTGTATTAGGCAAACTTGGTTTAGATAACTTTCAAGCTGTAGGTTTTATATAGACTGGCTTCCATAACTTTTTCTTTTGATCAACTCAGGAAACTGAGTTCTAAAGGATTGAGTGTTTTACTGTGTGATTGCCAGCCTGTTAATGGAGAACTAGGTCTAGAATCTAGAATCTAAATGTCCTTTCTCTCATCACTTTTTTCTTGCTCCAGACCCTTGTGTAATATAGTATCCAAGGCCATGTGTACTGATTCTTCATGTGCCACAGAAAGCATTGCTTCATCTTACATGTTATAACCTTGGAGTCTGTTGTATTTCAAAATGTTTTCCATTCTTCCTCTATATTTTAATGCATTAATTATAGATTGCTTATCCAAATTAACTGTCATGAGCTCTTTGCAAAATTACATCGTTCTCATCTTTATTACCAGCTACTGTAAACTCTCCTAGTTCTACACCACCCACTGTCACCACTAACATGCCTGTTACTAACAGAATCGATAAACAAATGAATGGTAAGAAATCATTACCTTTTATATTTATAGTGTGTCTAACATAAAAAAATTGTACTCTAAGGATAGAAATATGATTATTCCAATGAAGTTTCTGTTATTGGAATCAATTGGTACATTTATAGGTTTACCAGACTAGTAAAATTAATAACTATTGCATAATTCTGTTTAGTTCCTCATTTTTATGACCAGTGGAATGAGCTCATTTCCAGTACTCCTCTTTTGCACTTTTAGCCAAAGTTTCTTTCAAAGGAAGTTTTAAGAGAAAGGCATTTAATTAAAAGGCAGTAATTTGCATCATAATAGAGATCAGAGAAAAATGTATTTCTATGGTATTTTGTTAGATAATTTTCTTCAGGAAACAAGTTTTAAAGGATTTTATAAATTTCAGAAAACCAAGTAATTTTAATAATTTAATTTCTCACTTAAGTGTGATAATATATTTGTGACATTTAAATCAATTTTCGTAGTAATACTTTGCTTTCTATTTTTATTTGCTGAAGAATAATAGAATGTGATTATATATCAGCTAAAATCTATTTTTAAATGGCAACAATCAAAGTGACTTCAAATACTTCTTGCTTTTTTCTCTCCAAATATACTTTTCTGTTATTTATGATTTACAAATACAGCAGTATATGGTAAGAAATAGAGGAAAATTCAGGTGAACTGAGTTATTTAACCTGTTCCTATATGAACGACATACTTGGCCTTTCAGTAATTCAGAGTGACTGATTTCAGTTTCTTCTAATGAAAGAGAAATTCCAATCAGGTGACCATACCATTGCTTTTAATACAGTAATATTCTCAAATATGAAGCATTAGAAACAAAGGAATTTTCTGAACTCCAATCATTTAGTTCATGAGGCCAAGACATCTGTAATATATCACCAGGGACCCAAAATCCTGAGAAAAGAAACCCACATAGTTCATTTTTTCTTGGCTTCAGAGGTTATATCAACTTCCTCTGTAGGACATTTAAATTGGAAGTATGGAATATTTTACATGAAACGTAGATATGAATTTCATTAGGGTTATAAAGACATCGATTCAGGGAGTGTTTATGGTTATTCTGGTAGTTACACCAAGGAGATTTATGATGGAGCAAAAATTCCAGCAACCCCCAAGAAAGCAACAGCAGCTGAAATTTCCAGTGCATATTTCACATGGACTCTAGCCAGTAGATGGGAATATTATAATTCTAACTAAGTATTTCACTCTTTGTATGAACATACAAAGAGCCTCTGTGGTATTCTCCCTCTAGGACTGACACATCCTCTGCTGCCCAAGAACATTTATACGGTGCTTCAGAGTCCTTGACTTGGTGGAGTGGAGCTGTATTCACTCAGTCATGTTATTTCTGACGTTATTGAAGAAAGCCTTGTTTAGGCCATCTCTCTTTGCGTCATAACCTTCACTGGAGTTTGAACAAAGCAAGCAAATGTTAGGATCAGTTAAAATGGTCTGTCTTGATCTACATTAATGAAGAAAATCTAGTTCAGATAATTCTTAATCAAAAATTTTATCTTAGTGTTTAAAGATATTCAGGTCATTACGTGATAGAAATATTCTCAAAATTGTGTACTCAAATTTGTGTACCATCTTAACAATTTTTACCATATCTCTGAACCACCTATACTATTTCAAATGATTTTCCCCCTAAATTGACTCACTTTTTAACTTAAACGTTTATATTTACTTGGGAAAATCTATTTCAGGATTGTAAAGTGAAGCCAGTCCTACTTGTTATAACACAGACATGGAAAGTGAATATAAATATAATGTAAACAATATTTTAAAATTCTCTATATATCCTATTGCCTTCCCACATCTTAGAGCCTGAAGCCTTCATTATCTTTTTAAAAAGGAAGACAAACAAGGTATTAGAGACAGACTATAATTAAGATGTTTTTTGATGTAACCAAATTGGAAATAATTGAAAAGAGAATTACTTTTTTACCTTATGAAAAATGCTATTTAATGTCATGTCATAGATTATCATCATTTATATATTTACAATTTCGTATTCTTTGGGAAACAGAGTAAACATTCTCAGGCTTACATTCTGACGTATTAGAGAATCCCATTTTATTTACTGTAAGAAAGATAGGCAGAACTGTCAAATCTGTTATCTAATTTGTCCAGTCCTTTTAACTTTTGACTATCGGAGTTTTACTGAGTTCATCAATACCAATATTGCATTGTGAGGAGAGGACGGAGTTGAGTTTGTTTGATGATCAGATATATTTATCGTAGTATATCAACAGAATGTGTTTGCCTGGCTTTTGTGATATGTTCCTATTTTTCTGTGTAAAGTTATTTTTGTTGTTTGCAATAGGGCTTTTTTCTAATGCCTCAAATTACAGCAAGTCTTCATTAACATTGTTTATAGGTTCTTAGAAACTATGAATTTGAGCAAAATGACATGTAATGAAATTAATCTTAACACAGGCGGATTGATATAATCAAGAGTTAAATTTCTAGAGCATATTTGTGATCACAGAAGCATCACCAAACTTCCAAATAAAGACTGAATCACTTCTAATATTAAATATTATAGTTAATACATACACTATACATACACTTAAGAAAGATTAGTGAAAACAAGATAATTGATTGCCCAATTTTGAATGAGCCAGTAAGTGACTGCAATCTTAGTGGTGGTGATGGGTTAAATCAAGGAACAAGTGTTCATTTGCAAGGTGAAAATTGCAAGCAGCACTTCCTGCCACTGGGAAGTTCCAAAACAATCATCAGTATGGGGCTTCACTGAGTGCCTTCATACTGTATCATTTGTCGTCGTGCATTTATATGATTATCTTACACTTTATGAATTTTTGTATTCATTCATTCATTGACTTTCTAACCTGCTTATTTCATATAGTTCAGGCTGTCAGGTGGCTGGAACCATCGGGGCAGCTCAGGGCAGCAGGCAGAGACTAGCCCTGACCAGGATGCCATCCCATGGCAGGGGACACTCACATAGCCACACCCACTCACACTATGTAGACAGGCCAATGAATCTAAGGTGCATAGCTTTATAGTGTGGGAAGTCACTGGAAGATCTGGAGAAACCTCATGCTGACAAGGGATGCAGACCCTACGCAGAAAGGTACCCAGCCAGGGATTGACTTTTCTCCTCATCAACTTTGTAATGAAACTCCGTTGAATGAAACAATGTTATTCGAGGACCTGCTGCATACATTGAGAAAGTCTTGAAAGCTACTTTTCACAAACAGATATTTTAGGATATGGATAATCTGGGGCTTCCTACAAATAATGACCTTTTATACATTTTCCTAATTACTTTTCCATTCCAAATCATATCTTCTCTGCTTCAAGCATCACTCTAGTGCTACTGAATAGTAAGCTTTTGTGAGGTTGTCACAAGCAACTCAAGTAAGGAATTGTCTCCATTAGTCTTTATTGTTGTTCTAAATATTGAGTTTACAAGTAAGTACAGACGGTAAAACTGCTTCCAGTTTCTCACATATGTTTAGCTATTTAACAAATTCCTTCTTAGATCATTTGAATGGATCCATTACTGTAGCTTTTTATGCCATGTATCTTAAAGAAATTGTGTGTATAGGATCTGCAGGATTGACAGTCATATTGTAAATGCCACTGTCATAATAGAATTGCCTCATCACCAGTTCAAAGAAATAACCAGGTATCTAAATTAGCATTTGGTTTATATTTTAACATCTGTTTTTTCAAATATATATTTAAGCCTATCACTGCAAACCTGTATTTTACATCTCTGAATATAGTGTATATAGAGCAGAGTCATTTCTGTATTCTTTAAGAAACTCAAAAAAAAAAAGTGTAAGAAGGCAAAAAATGGAAAGATTAGTTGGAGAGAGACCTACAGAAAATAATGCTGTTTTGATACCACATTGGTAATGGAAGGCAGTGATTTCTGCTTGAAGTTCTACATGCTGAAAGAAGTATCTAAATAGAAAACAAATATATTCTTAAATCATTTTCCCCAATTAATGTCTATAATTAATCATTTTGGCCTAGATGTTATTATTAGGATAGTACATATATATTTTGAACTCTCTGGAACACATGAAGATTTGTGAATAGCTTTTAAAACACCATGGGAGTTAACATTGGTAAGAGAAGATGATTTTACTGCTATGATAACGTGGAAAATCCTACATAAATGTGTCTTAATTATGCATTTCCTCCAATGGCAATGTTTAAGCCAATAATTTTGCTGCAGTCCAAAACCCTTCTCACCAGCCCTTCAATGGACATGTTTTTTTATGTTGCTTTGACAGTTCATTCTTGGACTTTTCTCATGGTTGCTTGTTGACTGCACTATTCTTAAATTTTAAATAAGATTAACAAGTGGACTGGGGCAGAAAACACAAAGTTTAAAGAAAGCATCTTAAATATCTGGATTCTTCTATAAAAATTCAGAAATGTCAATTACTACAGATACTGATTTGTAGAATTTTGCAATCTTTTTCTAAACAAATACTACTTTAATAACAAAAGCATGCTTTAGGTCTCCATCTAGTGGTGGCTTTTTAGATACTCTACTAGCATTGATAATACAGATGCTCTTCCACTTAATGAGGGGGTTTGCATTCCTATTAACCCAACTGTAAGTTGAAAATACTGGAAAATATCAAATGTCAGAAATGCATTTAATACACCCAACTTGCTGAACATCATATCTTGCTGAACCCGCCTTAAACATGTTCAGAATGCTTACATTATTGGCCTACTGCTGGGCAAAATCATCTAGCACAGTCTATTTTATAATAAAGTGTTGAATATCTCATGTACTTTATTGACTGCTGAACTTAAAGTGTGAAATGAAATGGTCATATGAGTACTCAAAGTAAAAGTTTCTACTGAATGCCTGTTGTTTTCCCACCATCATAAAGTTAGATCATCTTGAATTATAAGTAGGGAAACTTCTGTAGAGTCAGAGATTATTACCAGGTTCTTGAAATAACTCTTTGACCTTCACAATTTGAATTTCCTCCCAATCTTTCAGAACATTTGAGATTTTATATCATGAGATCTACAGTGTAAAAGTTATCTTTATATGAATTATTGTTTTATATGTTCCTCCAAATATTTTTCATTCAGAACATGTTTAAAGGAATATAAAAATCAAGATTATTAAAATACCTGGAGAGTTTTAGAAGTTGAAATACATAGTCTGCATAAATTAAACTCACCTGTGCTTGGACTTGTGCCAGTTTCTATATTTATGTTAATACATCTGGGGAAGCAATTTCTATTATTTAGCATGAGACTGACTCTTTATGTTAATACATCTGGGGAAGCAATTTCTATTATTTAGCATGAGACTGACTCTTGCTGGAAAGACATGCCTTTGGTTGGAACTGGAATTTGCACTTTGGTAGATTTGGAAATTCCCAGAGAAAAACGTTTATATTTCTTTCTACTGCCTCCCCACAATTTTTACTATTTTCTTCAACATTGCTCTAATTATGTATTTCTATATTTTGTGTGAATGTTTTATTTAAGACTTACCTATAAATAAGTATGTATTGGACATTCAAAAATTTTTTTTTTTCTGTATAACCTACCATAATTTAAAAGGGCATTTTTCTCTTGAACTATTTTGACTGAAGGGCTCTCTAGCACCCATCTAGAGCTATTTAACAAACTCTTGCTGGTGAGTTTGATTTTTATTAAAACAAACAAAAAAAATCAGTTTACTTTAAAGATTTCCCCCCACCCTAAAAGCAGAACCTTCTTTACAATAAGGTTTTCTTTTTAAAGTGAAGTAGTCCAATTAAAATTCTACTTGAAAATATTGTTTCTTTTTTCCCCCTCTACTTTGGTATAAATAAACATATTTAAAATTTTTTGATGAAAAGTTTGGGGAAATGCAACCTAATATTTTAGTAGAAGTAAATGTTTTATTAGGCAAGGGAAAGAGAGGAAAAGGAGAGGAATTAGGGCAGTAAGTATGTGTGTGCCTATTCTACTTTTTCAAGTTAATTCCTCCACATGATCTCATTCAAGTTTTCATATCCAAAACTTTTTATCATTCTTTATAATGCACAAAAGCAAATTTCCTTGTTATAAGAAGTCAGGTTGTGCATGAAAACAGTTAACACATTACAGACAGTAGATATCAGAAATCTATAGAATTACAAAATATGAAGAAACATATACAAGTAATAAGAGTAAGCTAATTGATAACTATTTCTAAGAAGTTGCAAGGTCAGTAAGCTTAACATCAAAATATTTCAGAATTTTTTTTGCCTATGTAGAAGTTATTTCTTTTACCTTATATTATAAATTATATGATTAGGAATAAAACTATTTGATTATATAAAACTTACATGATCATAACTTTAAATTTTTGGTAATTTTATGACTATAAAAATATAATTAATGGATTAATCCTATTTCCAATGGGCAGATGGAATTCTCTATAGAATATCTGTAGTGATTCAAAACATCCTTCGTCACCCGGAGGTAAAAATACAGAGCAAGGTGGCAGAATGGGTAAGTCAACTTACAACCTTTCTTTTTTTAAAAAAAGAAAAAATCTTTAACTTCTGGGAATCTGAAAAAGACTAGTTAACCGAATCCACAGATCATACTGAAACACATATGGTATTCATTAGAAATAAATGAGTAGATATGTAAGTGAGGTGTTGTGCTTATGCATAAGAAGAAAAGTACATTTGAAAAGGATGAGACACTGAGCCTAATAGGCTATCAGTGTCTGAAATAAGAAAAGTATCACACAAATGGAAATAGATTTTGGTGGCAACAGATTATCTTTATTTCCTATTAGATCCATACATTTTCTGCTATATTTTTAAGTAGATTCTTTTAAAAATTTGTTTGAATGTTTGATCAAAACCAAAAAGCACAAAAAGACACATTTTGAAAGTCTTCCACTCATCCTTGCTGCTCATCTGTGTGGTACCAACCCAATAACCAACGGCAAATAGGAAATCACTGTTAGTTTTTCTTGGCTTTTTTCCAGATTTTTTTGTGCACATGAAAGAAAATTAAACTATAGATTCTTATTTTCCTTATTTTTTTTTACAGTAAAAGCAGTATACTTTACATGCCCTTCTATACCATACTTATTTTTATTGTTACCTGATTTGCAACATTAGAGAACTTCATCTTTTTTTTGTTTTGCAGAAACAATGTATAATATTTCATTATGTGGCTGTTCAGTCATTTATTTAGCAGATCTTCTGTTGATGGACAGTTAGGTTGTAATTTAACCAGTATCCTACCGATAAACATTTTGTAGTTTTCAATTTTAAAAATTTAACATTTTATTTTCTTATTTTTCTTACAAATACAGCACATGTATTTTTTCATTTTCTTCATAATCTCAAAATTTTTATTTTCCATAGGTTTCTATGTTTTCTATTATTTCATTTCCTACCTACAGCATACCGTAAGACTTGGTACTTCTTTTTATATATAATGCTGTTATAGTTCAATTTTTGAAAATTGAGTCACTATACATTCTGAAGTAAGAAAAATGAGTTTTCATATATATTTGCTGTTTAATAAATGTGTTTTGGTGGCAAAAGAAAGTTTAACCACACATTGAGAGGTAGTGGTATACACACACACACACACACACACACACACACACATACTCTTATATATATTTGAAAAATAATTGGTAGAAAACAGTCTTCTTTTTAAAAGCAGTACTCTTTAAAAAAAAGTTGACCACAGGTAACAATAGTAGGTAAATAGCTCTTTTACAAAATTGGCGAGAAAGGTGAAATTCTCTATTGAAATAAAAGAAAAATGCTACTGTTGATTTTTGGGAATGCCACACTGAGATTAGTAACTAATTCAAACATTATGAGATATGTTTAACTTCTCGATGGAGAGAGCAGGCTACAGAAAGTGTATCTCATTTTCTTTCCAGCATTGTTCTTTTTGTTTAAAGTCAGAATTTCAGAAGATAGAATTCTTTATTTTCATTCTTAAATAAGCTACTGTTAATTTATTTGTACAAATAATAGGTAACGTTATTAATCTGAAATTAGCATTCACTAGAAAGTTTGTGCTAGATAAGGAATAAGCTTACATTTATATTTACTTAATGCATGGTTTTTGACATAGCTTTATTCTCATCTGCAGCTAAACTTCATTAGACATTTTTTCTTTAAAATGCAAAGTACCAAAGCAGATACCTGGTAATAGAGAAAATATAAATGGTGTTCCTGTTTCAACTTACTACTATTTACAATTTTAAAATAACTTGACACTTTTTTTGCCAGGATTCCCTAAAACTTACATTCAGTTGCAGAAATGCATAAAAGAAAGGCTAAATGTGTATATGAAACAAGGCCTAAATCACCCTTCGGAGATGATGTGTTAATAGGAGTATGTCATGTCAGTGAAAAAATCTTGTTTTGCAATTATTTGGAAAACTACATCATGGAAGCCTCTTTGTTTTTTGTTTTTTGTTTTTTTTTTTTGCAGAAAGGTGGTTTTATTTAGGTAGAGAAAAGAGAAGGAAAGGAGAAGAGGAGAAAGACTTCCACAAAGAGTGTGGAAGGGGATTCCAGAGGGGAAATCCTAGAGGAAGCTCCCACCATGTGGGAGGGGATTCCAGAAAGTTGGAAATCCAGGAAGCTTCTTTATATTGGTGGAATTCATTGCTTCATTAAAAACTCCTATGCTGAGACCATAAAGACTGCTAAATAACCACTTAATAATTACATAGTTCCAGTAGTATTGAATTTATTTTCTTTTTAAAAAAAATTTATATTGTTAATTTATAATTTTTCTTATTTACTAATATTATGAGAGAGTAATTATTAGAAAAATGTTTTAGTGTACCTCAGTGTTTGTTAAATAAAGAATAGAGAAGGTATTTATTGTATGAATCTTCTTTAATATGAAGGCTAGAGAGGAAATGATAGTTTTCCGAACAGACAGACTTGGGTTCCAATCTGAGATCTGCTACTGCTTAGTTGGGTGATCTTAGGCAAGCTATTTCTTCTCTGAGAAAGCTCAGTTTCTTTATTTAGAAGACTGTGGGGTATGTAAGGATAATACCTGTTTTATTGGTTGTTTTGAGGACTGAAAGGAAAAACATTGGTATACAATGATCCAGTAACTGTTATCTTTACCCTTCACTCCTCCAACTCTTCAGGATTTTCTCATGGTCTTATCTCAGTAACAACTTATGTTTTAAGCAGAAATTTGATTTAGATATTTTTTAAAGGTATTAACAAAACTCAGCCTTTTCCATTGTGTTTTCCAGCTCAATTCAACCTTCCAAAATTGGAACTACACGGTTTATGTCATTAATATCAGGTAAATGAGAGAATAAAATTATTTGAGAAATTTAAAGTAGTGTCTAATTACTGCTACTATTTGATTGTACCAACACATAATACAAATACACACACACAAGTACTAGATACACAATCTTTCTAAAACAACTCTATATATTAGTTTATTGCACAAAATCCTCAATGCTGCAGTGATGGTTTTAAAATGTTTTGATCATACATTCCAGTTAACTTGTATTTGTATTTTTAAATCATAAGTGTGTCTTGTGTGTGTGTGTAACTGAATTGATATATGTTATAATGTGTCAAAAATTAAAATTGCATCATTAAATATACATAAGTTGTTAGTTTCTTCTCACACCCTGAATCACCTAGAACACCCCCTGGGTTGTATGCACCCACTTCAAGACCACGTTTTTTTTTTCCCTGATCTAATCTTGTACATCTACAGTCTGATTGCAACCTAACTCTTCAAAATTATCCCTCACTGTGTTTATATTTAAATCCTCTGCTAATCTTCAGCAATTGGTATTGTCCATGTATCTTCCTGTGTACCTTATTTTCACAGTCCTACACTTAAACTCATTTTCTGAAGTGTATGTCATGACTTCAATAACACAGAAAAGGGGTCAAGTTGTCAGATTAATTCAGGTGAAGCAAACATTATTAAACAAACTGAAGCAGATTTCTTTATTGGAACGTTTCCATTTCTTTAGTGTAGTAATATGCATTGCGGATCTTCAAAACAGCAAAAGCACACAGTTGCCTAGCTTTATGAAAGGAGCTACAACCTCAGGACACACATTTGGAAATATTGTCTTAGAATTCCCATTCTGTCTCTTTATTTCAGGTCCCCAAATTTTATTGTTGATGATGCAGTTGAAGAGGTGGATTAATGAATATATGTATTTTATTTATAGTTTTCACCTGAGCTCTGGAGAGGACAAGATTAAAGTCAAGAGAAGCATTGAGAATGATTCAAGGTAACAGGACAGTCTTATAAAAAGCATAGCATTCTTTCTCTTGCTCACTACTTTAACTGGTAGAAAAATGAAAACAGATGGGAAAGAAAAACTTAGCACAATTATTTCTTTAGCACTATTGTATGCTATTTTTTCTTGTAGTTGAAACTGTAATATAACAGACTGGGTAGTAATGTACATCTGATGAAAATAATTGAGAAATACGGCATTTAAAGTGGATGAATTATTATTATTTTTAGTATTTCCAGTTTATGATAACCTATTGCTTCTTGCTTGAAATTACAAAGACACCTTCAAAGAAAATAGCTTTAAGTAAAGTGTTTATATATGATAGCATCAAGTAATATGGATAATAGATGCCAAAATATTTTCAGCATTTAAAGCTCCAGCTAATTTTCTGAAGTCTCCATTTTAAACTGTGTATCAGGATCATGCTTTAATCATGCAGATAATTTAATTTCTATGTCCAGCATGTATGACCAGTTGGCATATAAGGACCAAATGTTTAGAGTACTGTAAAACAAAAAACCTAAACTTCCAAATGGAATAAATTTACTTGTGTTTAGGTTATTTGCATCATGTATTGCATCTCTGTAGACTTTTTTTTTTTTGAGACAGAATCTCACTTTGTCACCCAGGCTGGAGTACCATGGTGTGACCATCGCTCACTGTAGCCTCAAACTCCTGGGCTCAAATGATCCTTCTGCCTCTGACTCCTGAGTAGCTGGGACTACACACATGTGGCACCATGCCTGGCTAATTTTTAAAATATTATTTTTGTAGATACTGGGTCTTGCTGTGTTGCTCAGGCTGACCACAAACTCCTGGCCTCAAGTGATCCTCCTGTCTCAGCCCCCTAGAGTGCTGGGATTACAGGCATGACATGTCATATGTAGCCTCCATAGATTTTTTTTTTTAATTTGTTGTAAAGCGAAAGTTTCTATAAGTCTTGCTGGATCTCAATAGACTGAACTGATATTATGGACACACAGCCCTGACGATAGAGTCTGCTTCTTTTCATGTGATATATTCTTAACTATGAGAAGATAAAATTTCATATGAGAGTTGACCAGATAACTTTTTTTTTTTTGGTTCAACATCGGAAAAACAAATGTTTTGAAAGTTACATTGAAAGATGTCATTTTTGTATACATATTAAATGGACTGGATTGAGCCATCTGATTAAGGAAATTGTTTTTATTTTCTGGCAATATAATTGTTTCTTTATTATATGAAAACACAGTAATGTATTTCAGTCCTATATTCTTGAAGGTGACAGAACTCTTCACTATTTAACCAAATAATTTTTTTCAGTCCTTTCTGTTAGATCATATTGCGTCTTCAGTAATGGATTCAGCAGCAATTGGGATCTCTTTGCTGGACACTTTTTGTAGCTGTTGGGACAGTCCTGGGTGTGGGAGATATCACCAATGGTATACGTTCTTCCTGCAGTCACCATTCGCTTTTTAGTTTACTTACTGTGATTCTTCAACTACAAGGTGATGCTAAAATCAGCCATCATAATTACATGTCAGTACTCAGAAACTCTTGCTTAAAAGACATTTAAATTCATGGGATTTCAGTTTCCTTGTCTGTCAAACCAATGAGTAATTTTACAGAAAATTATAGGGAGAATGAACTAAGACAGTGTATATAGGAAAATCCAGATATTTAGGGTTTTTTTTGGTATGAACTCTTGCCATTATTTAATATTTATGTTTATAGCATTTTTTGCCTCTCTTTTCTTCTATTCTCTAGGGCTCTTACCCTCATTGGTGAGCCTTTATAGTCTCAGCTTTTCTCAAAACCATGGTCTACTACTTTTACACACATTCTTTTTTTTATTTAAACTTTTCCTTTCAATTTGATTGTATCACTTAACACAGACCATAGCTTCAGATAATGCTGTCATACTCTATTGCCTAGACAGACAGGAAACCAAAGCCACAGAGACCTTATTTTTTTTAAATAAAGAATGACTGATGGTAACAACAGATAGAATGTGACTTTGTAGAACCGTAAAGTAGTTTCAGTTTTCAGGATGAGAGAGGAAAACTGAAAATGTATGGCTATTCCTGACTTATTGGATTTGGGTATTCAATATCACCCACAATACTTTGTGCTAATTATGTTCTCAGTATTCAAGACAAGTAAAAGTTGACATTCCCAGCTGTAAGTTCTCACCAACTGGAGTGGTGAAGCTTGCCTTCAAACAACAATTTAATCAAGGGATACTTTTCCATAGGCCATTTTAAAAATTGTTAAGCTATCATAATGACATCTGTTTTTCACAGCTATCTATCATTATGTTCACCTCTGTGTTTGCCTCATCCTGAAATATGACTTGTATGTGAATGGTAAGCAGTAGATTATTTTAAAGAGACCTTTTCAGAGTTAATTATGAGAATAGCAGAGCACCTTTTCCTTGAGATTAGCACAGATATTTAGGAAAGAAAAATTGAGCTATTTTTAAATTTTACCTAGCAATGAATAGCAAATATTTCACATATTGCTTATTTTTTAACACCACAAATAAATTACTATGACTAATACTTATATATATTTATTATAATTAAATAATTATATATGATATAATAATTATTAATATTCACAGTTTCATAAATAAAATATGCCACTGCCTCTCTACTGGGCATTCCATAACTAGTTTAAAAACAATCTACCACTTGGTCTTTGGCATGTAGATAGTAACTGATCTCAATAATTTAATGTCTTATCTTACATCATATTATTCATTTCTCCTCTGAATATAAAGAAGAAACAAATTTTTTGGTGAACCCAGAGCTATCACATATAAGCAAAAGAAATTCTCCTCTATTTGACAAAATAATGTTGCTTGCTTTTACCTCAGTGTTAAGTTGATAGTTTTGATTTCTACTGTTGACTATAGCTGTGATTGTAGTTGAACAGAAAATTATATTACTTTAAATCATAGAACCAAAAGTTTTTAACAAAAGAAATTTTGGGATAAATTTCTTTGCTTCCCATATATACATTCCCTTTTTAAAGCTCTTCAACGTCAACCGTTCTATAACCTTCTTAAGTAATATACTGGCCAATCACAAAGTCTATTTTGAGTATTTATTTTGTTAAACTTTTTACTATACAAAGTACTTACAAATGTTTCATGGAGATAGAAAATTATTTGTTGCTATTCTGAAGAAATTGTACCACATTTGTAAATAGTAATGCTTAATAATTTCAAAAGACAAATGGTGAGTTGAAAAATATTAGAATATTTTTACCATTATAATTTTCACAGCAGCAGAGAAAGTCTGTAAGCACCTTGGCTAATCTCTTCAGTCACAACAGTTGGTGGTCATCCATCTACATCTAAATGCTCTGTTTATCCGACCAAATAACAAGCAACCAATCGACAACAACAGTTCTATCTGAAATGTTTTCCTAGGTTGGTACTTTGGGCCCTTCTAGTTTACAATGCTACCAACAATACAAATTTAGAAGGAAAAATCATTCAGCAGAAGCTCCTAAAAAATAATGAGTCCTTGGATGAAGGCTTAAGGCTACATAGAGTGAATGTGAGACAACTAGGTAAGTGACTTTAATTTTTTATAATGTGCATTTTATATAACTATTCAGGTTTAATTGAAACAACAGAAATATTCTTTCTTTATGTACTATTTGTTTATGTACATTTTTTTCTGATGATGAAGTTCAGTAACAAATGTGTGACATAGCAAAAGAAAAAAATCGGCACAGCACTTATGAATACAAGAAAATGAAGGAGGTAGAGATGAAAGTTTATACTTTAGGGACATATTTCAAAAAACTAACAATATGTACAAAATGCCAGAATAATCTTGATTATCATTGGTGTCACCTTCAGGAATAAAAATGTGTATAGATATGGATATGGGAACTCTAATGAGATAAATCTTAAGGAGAGTTTCTGTTATAAAAAACATCTCCTGCTGGGTATGGTGGCTCATGCCTATAATCCCAGCCCTTTGGGAGGCAAAGGTGGGAGGATTACTTGAGCCCAGGAATTTGAGAGTAGCCTGGACAACACAGGAAGACTCTCTCTATGAAAAATTAAAAAATTAGTTGGGTGTTGTGGTGCATGCCTGTAGTCCTAGCTACTAGGTGGGGCTGAGGCAGGAGGATCGCTTGAACTTGGGAGGTGAAGCATGCAGTGAGCCATGTTCATGCCACTGCACTTCAGCCTCGGCCATAGAATGAAACCCTATCTCAAAAAACAAACAGAAAATGACTCCTCCTCTTCTGTTCTCTGTCTCTATTAGTAGTAGGTCAGGAATCTGGGGGTTCTGTTGAACCCAGAAACAAGTCTCTCCTGGAGATCGTTCACATTCTAAGCTCTAACCACACATGTGGCACTCACTGCTTGTACTTCCACAAAGAGCCTGTGCTCCTTTACCTGACCTTTCTATATCTTTGCCCACACTGTTCTTCACTCTCACCATCAACCTCATTATTACCTATATATTTTTAAAGACAGCTCCTAAGTCACTTCTTCTATGGACCTTTTCTGACATTTAGTATAGATATCACTGCCTTTGAGCCTCTACTTCATGTTGTCCAGATGCCTAGATCATCATACATATCAAAAGATCATAGTCCAGAGCCCAGCATATTCCCTGGAACTTGAATACTTGCTGAATAAATGAATGAATGAGTCTGGATGAGTTTTATTTTAGGAAAGCAAATATTTGCAAATTGGAAAACAAAAAAACAATTGTTCTAATGTTATTCTATGTTTACAATTATACTATGATTAGGTACATTTGTAGAGATCAAAAGAAAAGAAAACTTTGACACTTTGCTTTCTCTACACTCAGGAGGTTGAACTGAGGGAGGCAAGTGTTCCTCAGCCTTGAAGAGGGAGATTGTGACCAAGGCTAGAATCATAGTGTAGTGAAGAGGCAGGTGTCTCCACTTCTGTGAGGAGCCACCCATCTCTATTGGGTTGATGCACACATTTACAAAGACCTCATAGAGATGAATGAATGCAATTAATACTAATCATGATAATAAACCATTTCTGAGTTGGTATGGGAAAACATTTCCTAACAAATGGGGCTTTTTGGAGAGAGGGAGAATGCGGCCTGCTACCCTTTCACCCATAGGGGTTTTCACAAAAAAAAAGCCTGACAAATTGTAGCTTATCTATGACTGGAGAACCCTGGGAGGACCAGCGCATCTCTTTCCTCATAGGCTGGGAAAGCTCAACACCACTCTTTTCGTATACCTAGACATTTAATTTAAACCATTTAAATTTAAATTATCCATTTTATTGTTTTTCTGCAAGTGAGTCTGTGGATAAGCATTTCTACTAATGGAAAAATAAAAGGCTAAAACCTGGCAGTTTTAAAGCTCATGGTATACATGGGAAAGTGATTTGAATTTTTAGTTGGTGATGATAGGACAGGTTCCCAGTAAACTGATGTAACTCGCTAATGTTCACCAAAATACAGGAGTTTATTGTTGTTGATATATTGCTGTTACTTTGATATTCTTTAAAATACAAAATCTGAATCATTGATGTCAGGAGGCTTACTTTGAGAGTTGTCAAATGAAAAGTCAGATGATTTGAGGTTAAAGAAGTCTGAGGGTGTGGTGTTAGTTCGCAGGTTCCTTCTTGTGGTCCCCTTAGTAAGCGTCCAGGCAGGAGAGGCTGTCAGAGCAGCTGGAACATTTTCCATAAAATAGCCCCACAACTCAAAGATGACACTATCGAGGCATCATTTGTAGGCCTTCCTCTTTGAAAAAAAATCGAATTACGTTTTGAATTTTTTAGGATTGCTTTCCTTCTCTGTAGTGTTTCTTTTAATAAAACTAGTATCTGCTAATAATTAGAAAGATAATGTATGTTTCATGTTTATACTTATATAACTGTTATGTAATAATTTTTGTTTTTGAAGTGTATTAAATGTTAATGTTGTTTCTAACTTCTATTTTTTTTTAGCAAATCTGAACATAAACACTAATATTTTGGTATTACATTAAAGAAATACCTAATTACCAGTATTGTCATTTTGCTTTCATCCTGCACCTCTAATTTCTAACTTTAAAAAATAGGTGAATATTTCTCATGCTGTTTCTTATTTTCATATAGGTGTATGTCTTGCCGTGGAGGAACCCACAGGCTTCTACTGGCCATCTATCACACCTTCTGAATATCATCTTCCTTGTCCAGAAAAGCCTGGCTTTTCTGTTTCACGGATATGGTAATATTTTCACTGACTTTTGTAAGCAAGGCTCCACGTTATCAACCTTTCCAGGGTTATACGTGCAGCACGGTAGTTCTCAGGTATTATATTGATTGCAAAGAAGGGCAAGAATCTCTATGTATGCCTGTTTCATTCGTTCCTGGGGAGTAAAGATAACATAAATTGGTGACTCAGAAAGGCAGTGTTTTCCTCCTAGCCACATGCCTATCAAGCCCTCTTAAAGAAACATTGAAGAATTTAGAAGCCAGTGGGTAGCACCAGAGCCCAAAGTAGCTTGTTCCTCTGGCCTAGCCCTGGAACGTGCATCTGGAATTCTGAAACTTTTTAACTATTGGTACTGATTATTGTTGGAATGGGGAAAGGAGGCAAAGAAGAAAGAAAGACAAGATCCAGATTGGGGTAGAAATAAAGACAAGATCCAGTCTGCTGATGAAAACTGTCAGGGTATAGATTTTCTCTAAATGTTTAACAGAAACCTCAGAGACAAGACAATAGCAGGGATTCATGCAATAGCAAGTCAAATCCATTTCTCCACCCACTCACTCTCAATTAGAGCTTTTTTGGGGGGAAAGTCAGAAATGGAAACTGCCTAAGCATAAATACTTTGCATACTGTAAATACTGCTGTGTTTGACACTTTGTAGGGAGGAAAGAAGGGGACTTCAGGGATTTATGGACTTGAGTTTGAAATGTGGCTCTTTCTCTTCCTGGCTGTGAGATGGACAATTCATTGATTTATCAAATTCCAAATTATTTTATATAAGATGGGGATTATAATCTGCTTTGCAGAGTTATATGAACTCAAAATCAGATTTTACCTGTAAAGTTCTTAAAGCAGTTACTTGGCCAATGGATCTCAGGTTAGGATATTGCTAGTATTTTGTTTCCAAGATATAAACTACTGGTTTTTTTTTTTCCATAAGAATTTTTAGCATGAGATTTATGCCAATGCATTACAGTTTTATTTTCAAAGGAAACTTACCTAGAAATCAAGGCAAATCCTAAAAGTTGTTAACTAAATTTTTCAATTCTAATATTATTTATAGCAAAACAGGAAAAGAAAACCTGTAGAAGGAAATAGTGCAAATGGAGAAACAAACTGGGGTGAGAGAGGAGAGAATAAGGAAGGCTAAGAAGGATGAGGTGGAGAAGTGGAGGGAACTGGGGAACATTGTATAGAGAGGGCGATAAACAGAAATGGGTTAGGAAGATAGGGGAACATAGACATATGAACGGGTACAGAGATAAACAGAGAAAATTAAATTGGAAGCAGAGTGAGAGGTTCAGTGTCTTAAAGGGAAGCTTGTCTGTTGATCATATTGTAATAAATGTATACATTATATACAAATCCCTATAAGTAGTAAAAATGACAATATCAGTTATATAAAATATTTAAAACATCTATTTTGTTTCACAGTTATTACAATGCTTCCAACTTATCTGAAGCCTACTGGGGACCTGTTGATATCTCCAACTGTTTAAGTAAGTGAGCAATTTTCCTTTATTTTTCAAGGATAAAATGAAATGACTCCGTGCTTCATGGTTTTCATTGTCTTCAGGCATATTCTTCTGCTATGTGATACTGTTTTCATATTAAAAGGCAAACGATTGTTTTACTTAAGATAGAAAATACTTTTTACTTTCATTTTAACTTTCTGTTCTATAGGAGATTAAACATAGTAAGGAAAATCTAGAGAAGACAAAACTAACATAAATTGGTATTCATGTCAACATTTTGTGGTTTGTATTAAGTAGCAAATATATACTTATTCAGTGATTTTGGGGACGTTTCTCTTAGAACTTTGTGTGATCATTAATCTCTCCAAGTTATGCGTATCTTACTAGAGAGGGAAGTTAGTCTCTGCATAGAAAGAAATGTTATTGCCTTGTGAAGATGGGGATGAGATATAAATACGGAAATCTCACTTTCTTGCTTCAACTGTAAAGTAAAATATTACACTCGTTTTTTTGAATTCCTGGAAATGTTCAAAATATGCAGATAAAACTTGGTGTTATTTTCTTCTGCCTTTTTTTTAGAGGAAGCAAATGAAGTTGCTAACCAGATTTTAAATTATACTGCCGATGGGCAGAACTTAACCTCAGCCAATATTATCGACATTGTGGAACAAGTCAAAAGAATTGTGAATAAAGAAGAAAACATTGATATAACACTTGGCTCAACTCTAATGAATATATTTTCTAATATCTTAAGCAGTTCAGACAGTGACTTACTTGAGTCTTCGTCTGAGTAAGTATTTTCTTTTTCTGGAGAATAAATTTTATTGGATAAATGTGATGTTACATAATTTCTCACCTATCTAAACACTTTGTGCCCAGATGTCACAATTCAAATCTCTGCAAGATGTATTGATAGTCATTAATAATTAAGCAAGGCCATTGACAACATGAACTTAAAATTTGTGTATGTAGTTTTTTTTTCCTGAGAAATATAATTTACCATATCCATAGCCCTAGAAAGCATAATCAAGTATTTCACTTTTTATTTGGAAGTTCTAAATTTCATTTTAAAATTCTAAAACTCTAAATTTAGTTGGCTAGCAGAGTTATGCATAACTGGTCATCATAAGTCCATGATACTGTGAACTATGCCACTGACAGCCACAGCTACGTGGTTGGCCTTCTGAAATGAACATGCTGGGACAGGTGAAAATATATCTACATTTATATGATTCGGTTTGTATTTAATTGCTTCACTTAATGTATTAATATTAAAATATTTGCTGTTTTTTATTTCCTTCCCTTCTACATTTCTCTGAAGAAAATTTTATACTTGATAAAAATGTATTTTCTCACTTAATCTACATGATAACAATATAAACATTTTTACAGTGTCTTGCAGTTTACAAAACATTTTTATCACATTATTTCCTTTGATTCTTGATAAGCCATAAGGTAGGGAGGATGCTTTGTCATGTGGGGAAAGAGAGGCTTTTAAAATTTATTTTAGAATGAAAAACAGTATTTGTTCAGGATGATGTGATTGTTGATTTTCCATAAAACAGATATTTCTCTTGAGGATGCATCCATCCCTGTGATTCCATATTTTAACAGATATCATTGCGGTTTGGGGTAATTTTATGGGTGTTTATGTTAAGATCAGAAAATCTAAAAACAATTTTATTTGGTTTATATTTTGCCACAAAGCAAAACATGTATGTTTAAGTACCTAAAATATTGTATTACTTAACACTGCTATTTTTGTCATTTATTTAGAGCTTTAAAAACAATTGATGAGTTGGCCTTCAAGATAGACCTAAATAACACATCACATGTGAATATTGCAACTCAGAATTTGGCTCTTGGTGTATCATCCCTGTTACCAGGGACAAATGCAATTTCAAATTTTAGCATTGGTCTTCCAGGAAATAATGAATCATATTTCCAGGTAATGAGCCAGTGGTTTCTTTAATTTTAATTAATTACTTAGACATATAAAAACTTTCTGATCACTTAGCAGTTGCTGCTTCAAGGAGATCTTGGTCCATGAGGTGGCAAGCAGGTCTGAATGTTGGCTAAATTTAACTAGAGCAGTAGCCATAAGGTATTGTGGAAGCTCAGAGAGGGTATACTTTCATAACCTGGGTGACAGAGGTGATCCACTTACCTTCTACAAGAGGGGTTACTGGAGCTAAGCGTGAGTAGAAAACACTATACTTGGGGTGAGGATCAGTTCAGTTAGAGGAAAGAGCTTTATTAAGGGCCCCAATGTGAAAAGAAGCATGGTGCATTCTCTTCGCCAGTGGTTCTCAAACTGAATAGTAGAATCTTCTGGAGGAGGCTGGGTATGATGGCTCATGCCTGTATTCCCAGCACTTTGGGAGGCCAAGGTGGGTGGATCACTTGAGGCCAGGAGTTCTAGAGCAACCTGGCCAACATGGTAAAACCCTATCTCTACTAAAAACACGAAAAAAGTTAGCTGGGCATAGTGGTGCATGCCTGTAATTCCAGCTACTTGGGAGGCTGAGACATGAGAATCACTTAAACCTGGGAGGTGGAGGTTTCAGTGAGCCGAGATCATGTGACTGTACTACAGCCTGGACAACAGAGTGAGACTCTGGAAATTTTCTGGAGGGCTTGTTAAAACAGATTTCTGGGACCTACTCCAGGAGTTTCCAATTTAATAGGTCCTAGGTAGGCCCCCCAAATTTGTACTTTTAGCAAGTTCTTTAGACGTTGCTGGTCTAAGTATCACACTTTGAGAACATGTGATGTAGAAGTCTTGGGTAGCAGGTGACAGCAAGCCTAGACACGTACGCAGGGGCTAGATTAATGGAGAATCTTTTCAACATGTTCAAGCGACACATAAGAATTTTCAAGTTCCTACTACATGCCAGACAATATTAGCCATCAGAGCAAACAAAATGAATGAAGCATTGTTCTTGACCTGGAAGAGTATAATATGTGAAGTGTACTGTTTCTTTAACTGTGGAGATAGAACAAACTGAAAATATAAAAATCCTGAAAGCAGGATACAGGCAAGACTATTTGTACTCCATTAGACTAGAGGCCCTTTTGGACAATTCTCTTTCACATTTTTAAGAGTAAAAACTCAGTCAACCTCACTCTCATTCCAAGACTGTTCGCAAGAAAGCATTCTTTGGCCTTGAGCTACGGTTTCAGTAAAAATGCTATATGAGAGTGTTCATAAAATTTTAATGCAGTCTGAAATCAACAAGTTAACTTCAGTCTCTTTCTCTCTCCCTCACCTCTTCCTCCCATAGTTATTATCTTTTACTACGTGTTTTGAGAAAACCTCAAAATCTGCTGCTGGTAAATCTAATTCTTATACTTGAAAATGTTGACTGATTTATAGATTTCTCCCCATGTCTTTTTTAAAATCAATGCATTTTCTCATTTGACACACATGTAAAACCCAAATGAGATCTACAGCTCTGTCTGTAGGTGTTTATCCAGGAGTTACAGTGACCACTGTAGATACAAAGGGAAATCCTGGTCCTGACTAACTTGAACTTGCAATTGTTCACTTGCCTAACTGTGCATGTGGAATAAAGTTATTATGACCATTTAATTGTGATCACTTGACCAATATATCTCTGTGTGTGTGACAGATGGATTTTGAGAGTGGACAAGTGGATCCACTGGCGTCTGTAATCTTGCCTCCAAACTTACTTGAGAATTTAAGTCAGGAAGATTCTGCATTAGTTAGAAGAGCACAGTTTACTTTCTTCAACAAAACTGGACTTTTCCAGGTAAATACATTCATTAAATGATAATTTTTCGATTGCAAATGAAGTTTCTTTGCTCAAAGGTAAAAAAACAAAACTTTAGATTCCTTTGAAATATATCAGGAGGTTTAGAAAAATTTACTGCATTTTCAAAAATGGAAATTTTTTGTATAATTGCTTAAATATTTTATTTCAGATAATATGCTTATTGACAGGTTGTATGTATATCAGTTTTTAAAATAATTCAAGTATTAGGCTTGCATTAAAAAATTAGAAACTGAATTAGTGAATAAATGACTTTATTATTACGTTCATTAAATATTTTATGCTCTTCAATCATTTAGGCCTTTAAAAGAAATTGCACACCAAAGGAAGGGTGTTTTTCTTTTTTTTTTTTAATTTAGCAGGAAACACTGTTTACATAATAAGCAGCATTCTTGGCTTTAATCAGTTTTCCCATTAGTATTTCAAGTGACCTTTGGTCTTCACACATCCGCAGAGTTGGATGGCATTGTGCTAAGCACATATTATTATTTTTATTGGCATCATTTCTAGATACTAGAAGACCCACTGCCAGCAAACGCTGGTGACCTCTGTTTGCCTTTGCAAGTACAACCTGATCTAGAGTGGTTTTGCTGGGCTTTAAAAAAAAAACAAAAAAAACTTATCTATTAAATTCAAGGTATCACTGCATTAAACAATGTGACTTATATAAGAGAACATAGCAAGTCTCAAGACCAGGGAATTGATTTTAATAGATCTGCCTTTGTAGAGGAATGACCAAGTAGAGATATAGTCAAGGAAAGAGAAAACCATGGAATCCTTGACAGTAATTAAATTCAAAATTTAAAAATTTTATCAACAAATGTTTAGGAACCATCTCTATACAAATTTTGTGAGGTATATAAATATAATTTATGCATTTTATATATGGACATGTGTACTTTACCCTGAAAGATTTAATAGCTATAACATTTACAACTGCATTTGTTAAAATTATGGCAATTTGAAGTGTATGACAATGTTGTTTTAAAACCAATATAAAAATGAAGTAGGTGCCACAAAATGTGAATGGTACGGAAGCCCTGTGGAAAGGGTTGGAGACAACTCTTAGATTTGCAAGGATCTGTCATTGTTTTGAGTCATTGTTTCCTTCTCCTTTGGTATTTCCCTATCAAAGTTGTTATTAGGAAGCATATCTGGGCAGGGGAGGTGGCTCTTGTCTGTAATCCTAGCACTTTGGTAGGCAGAGGAGGGGGGATTGCTTGAGACCGAGAGTTGAAGAACAATCGGACCAACATAGTGAGACCCCTCTCTTAAAAAAAAAAAAAGAAAGCATATGTTATATGTATGTTACAGATATATATTGCATATCTTATATATTAGCGTATATAAATGTTAAAGTAAATTTACAGTAGAATGAAAAAAATCTTTAAGGGTTCTTTGGTGCTCCCCTATCATAGTGGGCAAGATATGATGGGGTTTTTTGTGTGTTTTACTGAAAGGCTGGGTATCACCAGCTAATAGCTGACTTTATTAACAGTGACCACCGTAAAAAGTAAATAAAAAGCTATATTCTGGATGCTGAGTTTGATTTGGAATTTAAGAAATCCTGTAATTATTCCAAAACAACTGACTTGTGAGCTATGATATAGAGTTGGACAAGAAATACAAGGGAAAGAAAAAAATAGAGATGAACTTGCTGGAGAGAAAGCTTATTGGTCCAAGCCATTTTATGTAGCAGATTTGATTTTCTGATAACCTTACTGATTAAGTGAAATCTGCATATGCTGGCAAGTATACATTCAGAGAAGAAGATAGAAGTCCTGGATCGGACTTGAGTTCAGTATTACTTTTAGATATAAATTAGTTAACATGTTAGGCTGTTGGCATGGATGTGAAAGATGAATTGTTTTTTATTTTTCACACCATATTCATACTTCTCTGAAAGAAAACAACTTCATCTATTTTCTAGAGTAGGGAAATGATCTCATTGTTTCACAGCTTTTTATGAGTGTATATTATTTATGAGCCTGCATTGTTTCAGATGTTAACTGGCTGACATCAGTCACCACATTCAAGAATGCAGTTTTATGAACATAATCTTACAATATTGGCTCCCAATGTTCCCTCAATGTATTTATTATAATAAGGGAAATAACAAAGCTACTTCAGGAAAGCCAGCAACTTGAAGTGATAAACAGGATGTTCGAGAACTGAAGATCTTAAGTGTAAAAATTGCTGACAGTTTGCTTATTTTGGAGCACCAAAGTAAAATAAAAGTGTATACTTCTAACTGATACACACACTTTTTTTTTTCTTTAAAAGGATGTAGGACCCCAAAGAAAACTCTTAGTGAGTTATGTGATGGCGTGCAGTATTGGAAACATTACTATCCAGAATCTGAAGGATCCTGTTCAAATAAAAATCAAACATACAAGTACTCAGGTAAGAAAACGCTTCCAGTAGCATTTGGACAGTGGTAGACTATTTCAGAAACTAGTGGGGCTTTTTTACATGTTAAAAAGTAACTGACCCTTCTTTGTGCGGTAGGGCCCAGTTTTCCATAAAGAGAGAACGGCTAGTCAGGTAGGGCTTGAAAGTCATAGTAAATTGAAGCAGCTGGAGAAGTTAGTCTTATCTAGGACTCAATAATCAAAAAGAGAAGGGAAATGAAGAAAAGGGCTTCTGTTTTTAAGATACAACATATATTGCTTCAAATAAATTAAATGCAGATGTAGTTGCACAGTTCTGCCATTAGAGGTTTTGGTTGTTTCTTTCTATTTCTGTGTATATTTGCAAAGATAACTGCAACTGGGAAAGCCAAGGAGAAACAGGGGAGGGTGGACTTATTTTTTGAGAGTTAGCAGTTATTTAGTATTTGCAAATGTTGCTTTTCTTGTTGCTTCATTACCCTTGTCATCTGTTTGATAAAATTAGATGAGAATTCTTACTGTCCCAGATGGCCCAAGAACAGGTTTTTCTCACTTTTCTAGAGGGCCCTCATCGTGATTCTGGCATTTTTTAGATAGGCAGGAAGGCAGGCAGGAAATGAGTGGGCTGAGGATTGAAAACCAAGTCACCTAAGATCTAGCCTCCTTTGTCACGAACCATCTTAGACTTCCTTGTTCAACACTTTGGCCTCCTTTATTTCAGCCCCTTCATTCATAAGGGAAGATATATATATATATATTTGTCTTTTTGTTGGGAAGATATTTTTTTGTGAAACATACATAATATAAAATATATCATCTTAATCATTTTTAAGTGTACAGTTCAATAGCATTAAGTGTCTTCACATTGTTATGCAGCCATTACCATCGTCTGTCTATCCAGCTGAAAGTCTCCTCCCATTAAATACCCCTGCCCTGTTCTCTCCTTTCGATAGCACCTGGCAACCACAATTCTGTTTTATGTCTCTTAATTTCACCACTCTAAGTACCTCATACGAGTGGAAACATACAGTATTTGTCCTTTGTGACTGGCTTATTTCACAACACAGTGTCTTCAGGGTTCTTCCATATTGTAGCATCTGTCAGAATTGCCTTCCTTTTTAAGGCTGGGCAGTATTTCATTGTACGTATATACCAGATTTTGTTTATTTCTCCATCAATAGATGCTTGGGTTGCTTCTACATTTTGGCTCTTGTGAATAATGCTGCTGTGGACGTGAGTCTACAAATATCTCCTCAAGTCCTTGTTTTCAATTTGTTTATGTAAATACCCAGACATAAAGGAGAATTTTGAAGATGATGTAGAATTGTAGTTTCAAGAGCTTTGCTAAATGCTAAGAATGAGAGTAGAATCAGTATATTTAATAACGGGACATTTGTAGTAACCTACAGATAAATGGGTAGGTAGTATTATTCCTCATGAGGTTAGAGTAGATTTTCTCTTGAAGTCTCTGTGGGAGAGAAGATTCCCCTGAATTGCCTGACATTTTCAGGTTATCTTGGCATGTTAATGCTAATCTATTTCTTTGTGAAACTCTTTGTGTTTTTATTCTTTTTGCCATATTTAAATCATGACATTTAAACACAATTTCACATGTTTATTCTTATGTTAATATAGGAAGTGCATCATCCCATCTGTGCCTTCTGGGATCTGAACAAAAACAGTAAGTTTTAAAATATTGGTTGTCTTAATATAGATAACAACTGAATTTTAAACATTGTTAGACACCCCCGTTTCCTTTAATTCCACCCCAAACCAGAGTGAGTCACAATGTAAGTGTAAATGGCAAATGAGCTGCAAAGTTAGTTTAGGTAGCTTGGAAAGTCAGTTCTAATTTCTGTAACTTTTCAGTCATTGAAAGAAGAAATAGGCAGACTTCACTATGTTTTCTTTCATTTTATTTTTTCAGTTGAACAACCGCTTTGAAATCAGTTACTTGTAAAATACAGCATACATTTTTATTGCTACTTTTGATGAAAGTAGATGTGCACTTAATCTCATTGTTCTAATACACATTTGAAGAGATTACTTGATCTAAGGCAGACAATTTAAAATCCAGCTTCCAGACCTCCAGTTATGACGGAGGTCAGAAGCTGACTGAAGGAATGTAAGTATAGGAATGATTATAATGGACATATATTACTTGAAAGAGAAGAACAGCCTTCTGAATTAGATTTGACAGTCAAGAGAGGAAGGCAAACTTAAGGGATGAGTCAATCAACAGGCATAAGGTGCTGAAATCTCTTTGAAAGGAAGTACAAATAAAGAAGCTTCTCTGTTTATCCCTGGTGAGGATTATTGTGGCCAGATTCATTCTGATATCAATGCCTGTTGCTTTGTTGATGAAACAGCCTGAAAAGGGCAAAAACTTCTTGTTCTGATAGTCCTTGTCACAGCAAGACAGGTATTTTTTTTGTGGAAGGGTTTAGTTGCATAATTTTGAGAAGATCTTTATTCATTTACATAGTTATAAGTGTTACTTTGTATCTTAAACTATTATTTAAATAAATGGATTCAATATTTTGACAATAGGCATTGCTTATACTCCATTTTATGTCATAAAAGTCAGATAAGGTATTTCCAAGCCATTAACAATAAGCTACCCCATGCATGACTGCTGAATGACATTCTAAGAAAACAAACGTTCTTTGTTCTTATGTCTTCACGAAAATGTAAATTAACCCTCAGAAAAAAATTGTTGGCCCCCGAGAGTTCATTAGTGTGTACTGTATTTGAAAAGGAATATTTGTTTTATAGAAGTTCATTTAAAAATATGTTAAAAATTCACTTGGATCAAACATTTGTGGACCTCTTGAGTTTGAACTCACTGATTAGATCACTTCTAACTGCCCACCCAAACTAACATTTGATGATTCCAGGAATCCAAATTATTCTAAGCATTGAAAGCTTTCATAATGGTATCCGTTTTAGAGATAAACTCTGTATGGCAGAAGAGACTGAGGCAAATTTCTCTATAGAAGTTCTCATCCATTATAGAGAAGACACTTACCTTCTGTTTTCACACTGTTTGTTGATTCCTTCAACAGAAAGTTTTGGAGGATGGAACACGTCAGGATGTGTTGCAGACAGAGATTCAGATGCAAGTGAGACGGTCTGCCTGTGTAACCACTTCACACACTTTGGAGTTCTGATGGTAAGGGGGGAATTTCTAACCTCATTTGGACATGCTATAACTTTGGATGGCATATTCCTTTTTTGTGAGTCCACCTTTTTAGATTATTTATTTTGGGAATTATTTTCTGATAGTTTTCATCTGTATCATGAATCTTAATTCGTAATAAAGAATCTAATTAGCAAAGATCACATATTAAAAATATGTACAAATAATTATAAAAAAGAACTGTTTCCCTTTTTTTTTCCTGTGGCATTAACAATGATGATAAATAATCCCAGAAACAAGAAAAGCCCCATGGAATGCTTGAATTAAGAGAGCAACAGCATCAAGGAGATAAACAGGGAGACAGGTGCGGGGAGGGAGAGCAAGTTAAGAAAATGTTGGGTGTTACTAACATGGAAGGGAATTGTGGATAGTGTAATCAAAAAGAATTTTTTCATATGTTGTCATTCACTCAATATATTTGAACATTATTTTGTACCTGGTACTGCACCAAGTGATCTCCCTCCTACAGATTGCGGTTTGTTAGACAGACTAGTGACTAGGGTTAGAGTGAGACTTCAGATCTGCAATAGATGAGGGTATGATGTTGGTGTCACCTTCGGACCTCTATATATCATTCTTTCCTTCCTTCTTCCATACTCCCATTTTATTTATCTTATTAGCCAGCTTGCCACACAGTTTAAAACAAAAACTAGATTGCATCATTGTGTGTTTCTTTTATCTCACCTAATTTTAAGACCCACCACACATCCAGCAACTTGTTGGAATTCATCCATCGATTTATACCTTTAGCTTTTATCCTGTATACTTGTGATTTTGCAAACAGTTTTATGGACAACAGAAAACTGTTTGCAAAATCACAAGTATACAGGATAAAAGCTAAAGGTATAAATCTGGGTTTTAGCATAGTCTTTGTTTCTGTATGGTTTTCATAAAGGGACCACATTTGTTTTTTTAATAGGAGATAGGAGTAATGTGAGCTGAGGCAATAAAGCTTTCAAATTAGAATCACAGACGTCAGGTTTTGTTTATCCCTGCCTTTAAATCTTGCACTCTTCTTCCTGTGGGGACTGGGAGGAAGCCACAAGGATCTGTGGGATGTAGTATTTGGCTCAGGAATCTACTCAGCCTATGTAAATGGTCATTGTCATATGGCAACCCTGCAAGTTGTAATTTTCCTGACAACCGAGTACATAAATGCTCCCTGGAATAAGAACAAGTCATTTAAAAAGTGATGAATAATAGAAGACACCTTTTTGCCTAACTAAAATGTGAATATTTTGTCTTTGCTACCAGAGCATGAAAATGAACAATTCACTATTGCATATTTTCCTTAAGTAATTATACAAGAAAATTCAGTTATTTTCCATATTCTCTTTTCTACAAAAGTAATAGCAGGCATTCTTTCAGAGAACACTTATTTTTCATGGTTACTCATTCAGATACGTAAACTTTAGCTGAATTCATTTAAATACTTCAACTATGTGCATGTTGTAAGTCTAATATTAAATAAATAGATAACAGTAACAAAATGTACTCTTCAGAGATGATTTATATGCAGCCAGAGTTTACCTGTCCCCTACTTCACATGGCCAATTCCCTCATATATTGTCTAAGTTTTATGAGTTTTTAATTACATATTCTTTTTTCTGCTGCCATCTGATTGAATGGTTAACTTTATGAATATGTATGTGAAAATAAGCATCTTTCATGCTATCTTTCCATTTTCCACCTTGTCTGTTTTTGTAATATTAAAATTGCTGGTAGAAACTCTTCCCAGAACTTATCTTTTTTGGTAATTTTCTCTTATGTTTTCAGCTTTTCCAGACCACCAAGACTTTGTTAAGAGTTTTTCTTGACTCAGAAACTCTTTATTCTTTTGTATAAAATATTCCCAGAGTCTGCATTTTTCCATGACACATTCACCAATTCACCATATGAGAAGCAAAAAAAAAAAAAAAAAAAACGCACCTCATATTTATAATTTTATCTTCTGATTTGCAAATGGCTTAAGAATTTAATTTCTTCTGCTACATTTCTTTGTACTAAAACTAGTTTTCATATTTTTAAGATTAGTACATTTTCATATTGGCTATATAGTTATATAAATGTTTTCATATTTTCATTCTCTAAAAGGGTAAAACAACATGCAATTGCGTGTAAATCTGTATCAGTAAACAGCCTTATTTAGTTTCTGTTTGAAATTCTGGGTTTAATTGTGGTATACAAGTCAACTGCCTTGCCTAGATAGCAACCACAGGTTTTTTAAGAGGTTGTGACACATCACTTGGCAATCTCTCAAGACCATGATTCATCTCTCTGGGCTAATAAAATCCTATAGTAACCAAAATATTGGTTGAGGTAGCCTATCTGTGAGTCAGGTGGCACTGACTCAAACCCCATTCCATGTGCCCTGGGAGCCCTATGTTCTCCCAGTGTTTTGAGAGATTCCTGGGATAAGAAGATAGGGGAATCTTCCTCAGACTCTGAGCTTCTGCCTCTGCTGAATTCCATTTCTTTGTGTATGTCTTGATGTCGCAGATATACCGTGTCTGTTCTTTACTGCATCAGTAAAACCTGAAACTAACCCACAGTTCCTTGTTACACACACACACACATACACACACACACACTCTCTCTCTCTCTCTCTCTCGCTCAGCCTGTGTGTGAGTAGCAGATTTTATTGGCATTTTAGTGAAAATTAAAGAAAATTTAGAAGGAAATAAATAAGAAAAATCATAAACATTTTCTCCATAATTTAAAACCTAAAAGTTTACACTAGGTATTCAATACATCCCTTTTCTAAGAACACTCAATTTTTGAACATCTGCATAATGGAGGTAGCTTTCTCCTCCAACCAGGATTGAGTGATTGGTCTTACTTCAAGATTTATTCCTATACCAATCCCCCATTTAAGGAGAAAAAGATTTTCCTACCAGGTCCAAACTTTCTAAGGCTCCCTTAGCACGTTGAAATTAGTACTTTATATTAACTCACTGGAAAGTATTTAGTTCTTTCCACTCCACAACAGCGCTGAACAATTTAAATTGTATCCTTTCAGTACTGTGGGAGTTAAAAAAAAAAAGATGACTCCCAAAACTCTTAGTGGCATCTCACTTATGAAAATATAGACTGTCCCACCTCATACATACCAAGCATTGCAATGACCAGGGTTAGGAATCTCAGCACCACCCTTAAAGCCTGGCAGTCACAGCACCAGCACCAGCCTCTGGCTGAGCCCCTCTCTACCTGGCAAGGACCCTAAAGGCTTGAGAGTTTGGCTATATAGACTACCATGGTCTCTATTTGAACTGGTGGGTGCCCCCAGCCCTGGAAATGTTAGAAATGGGCCTGATGGTTTATTATGCAAAGCAACCACTTTCTCACCAGTTTCTTTTGGGGGTCCTGGTGGTTTTGATCTTCAGGTTATACTGGTATGCAAAGAGCTTTGGAAAGAAGGTAATGATAAAAAAATAATATGTGTAATCACTGCCAGAAGTAAAGCTGCATTTTTTTCTTTTTTGATCAAAAATACTGCAATAAATAAAAATTTTAATATTGATTTGCACTGTTGATTTTGGCCCCTGAGAGTGAACTGCTTTAATGTTAACAGTGAACTTTCTAGGGAAACAACCATTCTCATGAGAAGAGAGATTCTTACAGCTGCTTCCCATGTTTTATGTAGGACCTTTCAAGAAGTGCCTCACAGTTAGATGCAGGAAACACTAAAGTCCTCACTTTCATCACCTATATTGGGTGTGGAATATCTGCAATTTTTTCAGCCGTAACTCTCCTGACATATGTCGCTTTTGAGTAAGTATTTTTTAATCTGTCAAACTCATTGCTAACTGTTCCAAATGTGAATAAGAAAATTGCTTCAGCTTTGAAAAACATTTATACACGTTGTGAATCATGTAGGGTGCTTCAATGTTAATGTTCATGTTTTTCATAAAATATATTATGGAACATGATTTTCCAGCTATAGAATTTTAATGTATAATTACCATATTTCTGCTTATAAAATGCATTCAAATATGTTAGAAATGATTAACACTTAAGTAAAAATTATATAAGGTGCTTTCTGTATTGTAAAACATAAAAAAATTTGTTTTATAATCTTATAAAATTATTCCTGAATCAGAATTTTTTAAGGTCCTTAACTCCTTAAAAATCAAGAAAGTTCAAATAATTTAGGGAAATTATTTTTTAATAAAAATACCATTCTTATAACTCTAGAATTACCCAACTGGGAATTGTATAAACAATTGGAAACAATTTTGAAGTAAAATTAATATTTTAAAAGTCTTTATAACTTGCTAAATACTCATAAATGTCCTTAGCCCCTCGCTCCCCCAACCCCCCGCCTTTAGCAGAACCATATCAGAAAGCTGGTGCTATTTATCTTATTGCAGGGTTGTATAAGATGTGAATTTATACAGCCCTGTATTTAAAAGATTGATATACAGTATTAGTTCTCCCATATATTTCTTTTTTCATTTTTTAGGAAATTGAGAAGAGATTATCCCTCTAAAATCTTGATGAACCTGAGCACAGCCCTGCTATTCCTGAATCTCCTCTTCCTCCTAGATGGCTGGATCACCTCCTTCAATGTGGATGGACTTTGCATTGCTATTGCAGCCCTGCTGCATTTCTTTCTTCTGGCAACATTTACCTGGATGGGGCTGGAAGCAATTCACATGTACATTGCTCTAGTTAAAGTATTTAACACTTACATTCGCCGATACATTCTAAAATTCTGCTTCATTGGCTGGGGTAAGCCTCCTAAAATTTTTTTGGTTTTCTTATTCCATCATGAAAATTCCCAGATTCTCATAAGAAAAATTCTTATTTAGAAAAAAGATAGTACCGTTAAGAGTAACCTCAAAGTCGTGAATGACGTGAATTAGATATACATAGCCTAAGGAAGGGACATCTTCACAACTATATTTTTTGAAACTCTTCAACAGCACTCACTACATACACGAGTAAAGGAAAAGCCCTCACTCCTGAGTCACCACAAACTTATTTCCTGAGCCCGGAGAACCCAGAGCCAGCCCACCCAAGTCTGAAGAGGCAGCTGGCAGACAGTGGTGCTTTTCCACGATGCTTTAAAATACGAAGGCCAGCTCAGATGGCTGGTTACACTCATCCGCAGACATATGCCTATGTCTTAGAAACCAGAGAAAGAATGTTATTTTTGTGTGTGCAACCAGAATACTTACAGAATTCCTGCCTTGAACTTTTTATAATAACATGAGTTCTCAGTCAGACATGGGTGGTTGTATTCGCCTGTTTGAGATTTGCTATTGCGCTCCTTTGTTTTTGCAGGTTTCATATTGAGCCAAGCATTTTAGAGCTTTCTCACAGATCTGTTTCGGATGGAAATGTAAAAGTGAGAGACATTTTCAAGACTTTCAACACCACTTTAGGAGGCAATAAGTGCACTCTTCAGGGACCTAGGTTACCTGTCTTACATTTCCCCACTGAGATATTCTTGGAAATACTTCATTCAATCTCTGAAAGAGTGAAGCCAGTGAAGGCAACAAGGCTTCCCCTTAAACTCCTTAAAAATCAAGAAAGGTCAAATGATTTAGGGAAGTTATTTTTTAATAAAAATACCATTCTTATAACTCTAGAATTACCCAACTGGGAATTGTATAAACAATTGGAAACAATTTTTTATACAATTTTATACAAGGGGAAGGCAACAAGGCTTCCCCTTGTTTTTCCTCCACTTTTTCTAGAGTTTTCTTTATATAGAAGGAGGCAAAATAAGCTGTAATGACTTGTCTGCCTAAACTCTGGCAGTATAATAAGGCTTAATTATTGAAACCACATTCACTAGAGCTAGATTTGATACAAATCAGGTTCTAGTTTTCTAGTGAATCCCACTATGCAAACAGAATTTTATTTAAATATCTGTCCTTTAAGAGTAGGTTTGGATTGTTGCCAGTTAGAGCTGGACATTGAACCCCAAGGAGGGGATTTTGTTGTTGTTAACCAAGTTGCCATTTCTAAGAAGTTTGAATCTGGGATATGGAATGTTGGCTTGCTTGCATTTCTCTTCTTTTCATCTCTTTTCTTTACTTGTCATTATCAGTCTCATGAAGCAGTTTTAGATTGCTTCAAAAGGGTTTGTGTCATGGTGTTTTATCACAGGTGTGCCTGCCTTAGTGGTGTCAGTTATTCTAGCAAGCAGAAACAAAAATGAAGTCTATGGAAAAGAAAGTTACGGAAAAGAAAAAGGTGATGAATTGTAAGTAATAAAAAATTTTTGCAATGGGTAGATATCCTTTGTTTCCTAACATTTAGCATTAGCTAATTTCCATGCCAGTAACAAGGCTTTCATTTTAAAACATTGATGTTTATTCACATGACAGCCAAAGTCTCTGCTACACCATAGATTAATTCAGTTAAATGCCCTGAAATGTTTGAGACTCTTTTTCCTATTAACATTGTACTCTGTTACATGGAGGAATTGAGAAAATGCCTACGACACTATTTTTTAGCCTCAAGAGACCCATTCTATTTCAGGAGATTTCGTAACACTCTCACCTCCTCAGTCCTACCCATCTCTTCAAGAGTTAAATAGCAGTATCAGACAGTGAACAATTCAATGCCAATGGGAGTGTTATGTAGAAATTTAGAGAATGGAGAAATTAGCAAGTTCTTAAACAATTTCAAAAATTCTCTTCAGACTATGAGATTGTTGAGATTAAGGTTTTTTATATTGTTCAGTTGGACAGTTAGTGCTCTCATGTTTTATCCCACCATGGGCAGTCAATAAATAAATGTTGATTTAAAAAATTACTGAATGAATAAAGAGCTTATTTCTGAAGTGGGACTAATGATGACACATATCTATGCACGTTTCATGGATGGATAACATTTACATTGGCTGGGAGCGGTGGCTCATGCCTGTAATCCCAGCCCTTTGGGAGAGGCCAAGGAGGGTGGATCACCTGAGGTCAAAGTTTGAGACCAGCTTCTAACCTCAGGTCATCCACCCACCTTGGCCTCCCAAAGTGCTGGGAGTTTTTAAAATTCCCATTCTTAGTGTACAGGTACCCAAGAGAAAAGGAGGTTAGACATGGCTTGGAGTGAGTCAACCAAGCATGTTTTCACATCAACTCAGACTTCAGGAAGCCACCTTGTCGTCTTTGTAATGTTGGCTTACCTGGATATTAAGATGATCCAAAAACAAATGAACACAAAGCCTGTGAAGAGATTTAAGAAGAAACTGAGGTCCAAGGAAGTAAAATGACTTTCTAAAGGCATTTGAGAGGAAAACCTGCAGTAGTCCAAACAAAGCAGAGAAAAGTCTTAGGTAAATAGGACATGGCAATAAATCTCTTTTTTTCTCTCTCATTTCTTCTTTTTTAAGTTGTTGGATTCAGGATCCAGTCATATTTTATGTCACCTGTGCTGGGTATTTTGGAATCATGTTTTTTCTGAACATTGCCATGTTCATCGTAGTAATGGTACAAATCTGTGGGAGAAATGGCAAGAGAAGCAATCGGACCCTGAGAGAAGAAGTGTTAAGAAACCTGCGCAGTGTGGTTAGCTTGACGTTTCTGTTGGGAATGACATGGGGTTTTGCATTCTTTGCCTGGGGACCCTTAAATATCCCCTTCCTCTACCTCTTCTCCATCTTCAATTCATTACAAGGTAAGATAAATTGTACATGAAGAGTCTCTGATTTCTAATTTTGTCATATTTGTAAGCAGCTTCACTTTTGGACAGATGCCATGTTAAGTTTATACGCCACTATTCCAAATGCTGAACATAGTTCCAGGTGCAGTGTGGTCACTTGTTTAAAAGGGCTTGAATAGATAAATGAGGTAGAATGTCAGTTTTGGCTTTTTATCGGTAATATATCCCAAGCACTTTAGAACACTGTACCTGGCAGATAGTAGGTACTCCATAAATGCACATTATTGCATGAATGAATATGGAGCAAGGGAGGTATCTAACTGAGAACCGAACAGGGAGTTTAAAGGGATGCATAGGCACCTTATCTTCTTCACAGTTTTGCTGAATGTTGGCGTTCTTCATAGATCCTTGTCCCCTGTAGGTTTATCATTGATGGCCAGAAGAACTTTTAGAGTCCATGTAAGAACAACCAGTTCACCTTGATTCTTTGGCTCCTTTGATTTCAGAATAAATACCAATACTCTAGCTCAGAAACTTTCATCTTTTTATGAGATAAGTTGAACTTCTCACAGTTAGCTCAACAGTTCAACAAACACTTGTCAATGACCTGCTTTGTATAAAAATACCAGGCTTCCTTCAAAGAGCTTGCAGTCATATTTCTTATTCTATAATATATACCTTAGTGTACTCTATACACTTTTTAACTTTTAAGCTCAAGTGAATGTAAATTGTCTTTTTAGATAATTACATGACATTCTTTAAGATTTTGAATATACCCTGTTTTGTTGATGAAACTCCTTAATGTGCAGAAGCACCATGGAGCCGACAGTCCAATAGAAATTAGAATGCTTGGAATGTTTTTGAGTAGAGCAGTGCAAATGGCTTAACTGAAGCTATTGGTCTTGCAGTTGTAGATGTCTGGGGAGGAAATTGCTGAATATATCTGAGCTGGGGTGGAAAGCAGTTTCGTGTTACTCACCAGATGAGGTGCCAAGGTGGGCATTCTCTGCAGGTGTATTTTAAGAAAGTCTGTACTTATCTGCAGGGGAGATTGTTACATGATAGGTGCCTAATGACTGGTAAATTACTGGATTATTAGATGGAGAAAGAGGCTTTGGGGATGGCCTAATCCAATCCGAGATGCCTCTGGCATAAATATATATTAAACAGTTCAGCAAATTTCATTCATGTTCATTGTCTCATAACAAAGGAAATATGCAGGCTCATTATCTTTAGTCAATAAAATTATAAGCCTCAAGTGCATCTCCAAAAATTGGAAAATGAGTATGTAGCATATAAATATATCTTTATTGGATTCTAACTCTATAAAGTGAGTATTCCTCTATTTAATCTCTTCTATAATATACAACATAAAAGTGCCTAAATAAATATTGACAAAAGTATCCATTAACATTAGAAATTCCATGATTTTATATTTCAGGATTGTACATAAAAGGCACATTGATCTGCCAGCCCAACCTTGGTTTTGCTTTTAGAATTTCCTGGCAGTTTCAATAACCTTCAACAGCTACAGTTGTCTGTTCAGCTCTGTTTCCATTAATGAGAATTGGGATGTTTTATTTTTCCCAGCATGGGTCCCCTGTCAGGAGGGAAAAATGTTGTAAACCATCATCAACTCAGTGTTCTTCATAAATCACTGACTTTTAAGACTGATTTTAAATAATGTAAATTCAGAACAGATTTCAGCACATTTAATTATATTAAACACCTCCCCAAAAGAAAATTTAAATTAAAAGGGATTGATACAGAGCACATGAATCTCTACCAACAATTGCTTATTGCCCAGGCTTGTGCCAAAACCTCTTAGGATGCTTTGGAAATTCACTTAATGGTTTTTATTGGTGACTCATTTCGGAATCTTCCAAGAAAGGCTTTGTTGTCAGAAGTATATGCTTTATTAAAATAAGTATGTAGAATTTAGATTAAAGAAAAGATTCAGTGAATGCAAAAGCAGCTCAGATAGTATGGAGGCAAACTACATTATATCTAATTTTTTCTCTTTTTGGTATTTGTCTTTCCACCAAAAATCTTGGCATGGTCCCTCTGCCTCATGGAACTTATATTCTAGTAGGGGAGGTAGGTTAATTAAACATATTGCTATATAAAAATTACCTTGTGATGTTGAGAACGTGTCACCAAAAGCATGATATCTAAGCTGAAATCTGAAGGATTAATAGGAATTGACTAGATAAAAGATGGGAGTTAGGAAGAAGAATATTTGAGAGAGTGGGCATTTCATGTACCAAAAATTTGCTGTAGTTGGTGATTACAGTGTGTGTTCAAGGTATTAAAAGAAAACTCATATATCCTGAGAACAATGAAAGGGCAAGATAGTGACAAAGCAGAGAGGCACAACAGAGAGGCAAAGACTAGACCAGAAGACTCTGTATTTGATCTTTATAAACACAATAGGAAGTCTTTGAAAGGTGGAGTGACATGTGGAGTGGCGTGATTGGATGTGCACTTTGTAAAGCTGGACATAAGGTACTGAATGGATTAGAGTTGCCCAGTAGTGTCTGTAGGGAGAGCAGGTAGGAGACTCTCACGTGGTTGGGGAAAAGGTGGTCTAATATTTTAGACTGTGGTGGGGATGGAAGAGCTAGAGAGATATGCACAGAGCCAAGGGAAACTTAGGAAGCCTACTGCTGCAAAATACTCATCATTGATTTGCTCATTAAAGGAAACTCTTATTTTTCTAGAATGATTAGAGTAAGGAGTCTTGTTGTTAATACGATATTATAGTAAATGGATGCCTATCTTTTAACATTTAATAATGGCTAAAGCTTTAGAATGCGAAGCAACATTCTGAAAGCTAAAACTATGTTAAACACATTTTAGCCCCCTTAGATTTAGCTTGCAGGGGAGCATCTTAAAATCAGTAGTGTCACTGTGTACTGTTATGGAGGCAGGATATGTTGGAGCAAGTGTTTGAGCTGGGTCTACTGTGGTGTCAGGGCATGTATCAGTCATTTTCACTCTGTTGATGAACACATACCTGAGACTGGGCAATTTACAAAAGAAAGAGGTTTAACTGGACTCACAGTTCCACATGGCTGGGGAAACCTCACAATGATGGTGGGAAGCAAGGAGGAACAAATCACAACTTACATAGATGGCAGTAGGCAAAGGTGTGCAGAAAAGCTCCAATTTTTAAAGTCATCAGATCTTGTGAAATTCATTCACTATCACAAGAACAGCCCAGGAAAGACCTGCCCCCATAATTCAATCACCTCCCACCAGGTTCCTCCCATGATGCATTGGAATTGTGGTAGTTACAATTCAAAATAAGATTTGGGTGGGGACACAGCCAAACCATGTTATTCCACTCTGGCCCCTCCCATATCTCATGTCCTCATATTTAAAAACCAATCATCCCTTCCCAACAGTCCCCCAAAGTCTTAACTCGTTTCACCATTAATTCAAAAGTCCACAGTCCATCATCTCATCTGAGATAAGGCAAGTCCCTTCAGCCTGTGAACCTATAAAATTAAAAGCAAGTTAATTACTCCCTAGATACAATGGGGATACAGGCATTGAGTAAATACTGCCATTCTAATGGGAGAAATTGGCCAAAACAGAGGGGCTACAGACCCCATCCAAGACCAAAATACAGCAGGGCAGTCAAATCTTAAGGTTCCGAAATGATCTCCTCTTACTCCATGTCTTGCGTCTGGGTCACACTGATGCAAGAGTTGGATTCCCTGGTCTTGGGCAGCTCCATCCTTGTGGCTTTGCAGGGTATAACCTCCCTCACATCTGTTTTCATGAGTTGTCATTGAGTGTCTGCAGCTTTTCCAGGCACACAGTGCAGGCTGTTAGTGGATCTACCATTCTAAGATCTGGAAGATCCCTCTTCTCACAGCTCCACTAGGCAGTGCCCCATATGGATTCTGTGGGACTCTGACCCCACATTTCCCTTCTGCACTGACCTAGCAGACATTCTCCATGAGGGACCCACCTCTGCAGCAAAGTTTTGTCTGGACATCCAGGCATTTCCATACATCTTCTGAAATCTAGGCAGAGGTTCCCAAATCTCAGTTATTGACTTCTGCACACCCACAGGCTCAACACCACATGGAAGCTGCCAAGGCTTGGAGCTTCCATCCTCTGAAGCGCAATAGTCCAAGCTATACCTTGTACCCTTTTAGTTGTGGCTAGAGCAGCTGAGACACAGGGTACCAAGTCCCTAGATTGTACACAGCATGGGGACCCTGAGCCTGGCCTATGAAACCACTTTTTCCTCCTAGGCCTCCAGGCCTGTGATGGGAGGGGCTGCCTGAAGATATTTTCACCATTGTCTTGATATTTAACATTTGGCTCCTCATTACTTATGCAAATTTCTGCAGGCAGCTTGAATTTTTCCTCAGAAAATGGGATTACTTTTTCTATAATATTATGAGGCTGCAAATTTCCCACTTTTATGCTCTGTTTCCCTTTTCAAACTGAATGCCTTTAACAGCACACAAGTCACTTCTTGAATGTTTTGCTGCCTAGAAATTTCTTCTGCCAGATACCCTAAATCATCTCTCTCAAGTTCAAAGTTCAACAGATCTCTAGGGCAGGGGCAAAGTGCCACTAGTCTCTTTGCTAAAATACAACAAAAGTCACCTTTGTTCCAGTTCCCAGCAAGTTTCTCATCTCCATCTGAGACCACCTAAGCCTGGACCTTATTGTCAATGTCACTATAACATTTTTGTCAAAGTCTTTCAGTAAGTCTCTAGGAAGCTCCAAACTTTCCCACATTTTCCTGTCTTCTTCTGAGCCCTCCAAACTGTTCCAACCTCTGCCTGTTACCCAGTTCCAAAGTTGCTTCCACATTTTTGGGCAGCACCACATTTATGGTACCAATTTACTCTATTAGTCTGTTTTCACACTGCTGATAAACACATACCTGAGACTGGGCAATTTGCAAAAGAAAGGGGTTTAATTGGATTTCCAGTTCCACATGGATGAGGAAGTCCCACAATCATGGCAGAGGACAAGAAGAAGCAAGT